ATAGAATCAAAGAGTTGGAAGAGACCTCATGGGCCATCCAGTCCAACCCCATTCTGCCAAGAAGCAGGAATATTGCATTCAAATCACCCCTGACAGATGGCCATCCAGCCTCTGTTTAAAAGCTTCCAAAGAAGGAGCCTCCACCACACTCCGGGGCAGAGAGGTCCACTGCTGAACGGCTCTCACAGTCAGGAAGTTCTTCCTAATGTTCAGATGGAATCTCCTCTCTTGTAGTTTGAAGCCATTGTTCCCTTGCGTCCTAGTCTCCAAGGAAGCAGAAAACAAGCTTGCTCCCCTCCTCCCTGTGGCTTCCTCTCACATATTTATACATGGCTATCATATCTCCTCTCAGCCTTCTCTTCTTCAGGCTAAACATGCCCAGTTCCTTAAGCCACTCCTCAAAGGGCTTGTTCTCCAGACCCTTGATCATTTTAGTCGCCCTCCTCTGGACACATTCCAGCTTGTCAATATCTCTCTTGAATTGTGGTGCCCATGCCTGTGATTGCATACTGTTTCCAAATCTCGTTGCCAAGGCCAAGCAGAAACATAGGAACAACAGGGGTTCTCCAAAAAGAGAAATAATTCTAGAGATGTATTGTTGAAGGTTTTCATGGCTGGAATCACTGGATTGTTGTAGGGGTTTTTTTTGGCTGTATGGCCATGGTCTAGAGGCATTCTCTCCTGACGTTTCGCCTGCATCTATGGCAAGCATCCTCAGAGGTAGTGAGGTCTGTTGGAACTAGGAAAGAGGGTTTATATATCTGTGGAATGACCAGGGTGGGACAAAGGACTCTTGTCTGCTGGAGCTAGGTGTGAATGTTTCAACTGACCACCTTGATTAGCATATAATGGCCTGACAGTGCCTGGAGCAAACTTTTGTTTAGAGGTGATTAAATGTCCTTGTTTGTTTCCTCTCTGTTGTTGTGCTGTTGTAATTTTAGAGTTTTTTAATACTGGTAGCCAGATTTTGTTCATTTTCATGGTCTCTTCCTTTCTGTTGAAATTGTCCACATGCTTCTTGTGTATTTCCATGGCTTCTCTGTGTAGTCTGACATGGTGGTTGTGAGAGTCGTCCAGCATTTCTGTGTTCTCAAATCATATGCTGTGTCCAGGTTGCTCATGCTATGGCTGACTTCTCTGGTTGAAATAGTCTGCAGTGCCTTTCATGTTCCTTGATTTGTGTTTGGGCAACGCTGCGTTTGGTGGTCCCTATTGTCTAGGCATAGTCAGCCCATTGTATGCTAATCAAGGTGGTCAGTTGAAACATTCCCACGGTCCAATACACCCCCTAAAGCCTTATAGTTATGGTGTCGTCCTCATTCATCGCAAGTAATGTGTCAACAGAGCCCTCAACCAAATCCCACGTAGCTTCTCGGCCTTTTGGCTAAGATCAAGTGTAGTGTAGTATCATACGAAAGCTGATTGGCACAACCTGGGGATCACAACCAGACACAGTGAAGACATCTGCCCTTGTGCTATGCTACTCTGCTGCTGAGTATGCATGCCCAGTATGGAACACATCTCACCACACTAAAACAGTGGATGTGGCTCTTAATGAGACATGCCGCATCATCATGGGGTGTCTGCGCCCTACACCACTGGAGAAATTACACTGCTTAGCCTGTATTGCACCACCTGACATCCACCGGGAAGTTGCAGCCAATAGTGAAAGGACCAAGGCAGTGACAGCTCATCCCCTGTTTGGGTATCAGCCAGCACGTCAACGAGAAATAGTTTTCTAAGATCTACAGAGACATTTGCTGGAACACCTCAGCAAGCGAGAGTCCAAAAGTGGCAGCCAGAGCCTCAATCAATGGCTGATACCAAATGAGAGACTCCCCCCTGGGCACACAGAGGCCTTGGAAGGCGCTGAACAGACTGCGCTCTGGCACCACGAGATGCAGAGCCAACCTCAAGAAATGGGGCCACAAAGTGGAATCCACGACATGCGAGTGTGGAGAAGAGCAAACCACTGACCACCTGCTACAATGCAACCTGAGCCCTGCCACATGCACAAGGGAGGACCTCCTTATAGTAACACCAGAGGCACTCCAAGTGGCCAGATACTGGTCAAAGGGCATTTAATCAACTACCAAGCTTGCAAACTTTGTATTTTGTCTGTTTGTTTGTTTTGTTAAAAATGTAATACAAATGCTTGGCTGCTCCTGACCCGATAAATAACTAAATAAGCTCCCAGCAACAGCCAAAGGTTTCTTCAGCTCTAACAAACCATCAAGCTAAGCCGAATGCAAAGGTTAAAGCTTGCAAATCTAGTGCCTTGTTACATGCTGGAGCAGATAACACACCCAATTAACTCGTGTCAGCTGTAACAGAAAAGGTTCTGAACCTCCCTGTTACTTAGAAAAAGCCTGTTGTAAACCTCTAGTAGCAACATTCCTTTCTGTGTTAAGGCACTATTTTTCCATCCAGCCAAAGACAACCAGCTTACGGTATAACTGTTGGAGCTCAGCCTGTGATTGTGTTTCAGGATCAGGGTGCTTTGGATGTGGGGAGTGATGTCAATGAGTTGCAAGATGAGTTTCAAGATGGTAATGGTTTGGCCAGTGATATTGATGCAGAGAATTGTTCAAAGTCTAGTTTCCCATGAGAATGTCCCTGAAGGGTGTGGGGATGATGGTGTGCTTTCTGAATTGTTACCAGAGAATTCCCATGATAGGGAACATGAAAACACCTCGGCACCTGGCCCAGCTGCAGAAATGAATGAGCAAAGAGATAGACGGGAGGAGATCAGTCAAAACAGGAAAGCCGAACAGTGGCTTCGGCGGTCTGCCAGGCTCCGAGAGAAAAAGATAAGAAATTCTCAGCTAAAGCGAAACCAATTTCTGAGTGCTAGAGGCATAGCTAACGAGGAGATAAAAGTCCCAAGCACGGGATATGTAGTCAGATGAAGCATCATTTGGAATCAAGTCAAGATCTCATCTTTGTTCATGGAAAATTCATGTTTTAAGTGCCTTTCATAGAATCATAGAATCATAGAATCTGTGCTGTCGCACACTGGGCCTGTGCATAAGACTGTAGACAGGACATAAATTCTGTGTGCCCAACGGGACGCCAGGGCTGCCTCAGATTAAAGGCCTTTGGATTTCCTTAAAACAGAGTCTTTAGATTGCTTAAAGGTTCAACAAAGTTCTTTATTAATGAAAACAAACAGGTACTTTAAGGCTTTCTTAACAGTCTATTGGCTCTCTCTCAATCTTGTCCACAGGGAACAGGCACTATCTTCTTAACTGTAACTAATGGGGAAATCCTTAACTTCTAATCTGGACAGTCTGTCTTTGCCTCTGTTGGCGTGGAGCCCCTACACCCGGTACCAACTGCGTCTGGCTTCCGCGAGTGACCCTTACCAGGCAGAGCTTTGTAGACCTCCAAGGAAAAAGGACTTCAGGTTTCAATGATGGCTGGCTGAAGTCCTTCAGCAAAGGAGCTGTAAGGCTGTATGATCCTTGGCCAAGCTGTGGGCTGTATAACCCCGGCCAAGCCGTAGAAGACGAAGCTTTCTACAGGAGCTCTTGGTATTATGTCCTGCACGAAAGTGTGGACTGAACCCAAACTGGCTCCTATTCCCTCCAAAACCCAAAAAGGGGGCGGGACCAGGGAACCTAACTATAATTGACAGGTGGCTTGCCCTATGATTGCAGCAAAAAGAAGCCACCTATCTGCAGAGTCCCTGAAACTTAGGACTACAACAAACATTCAATGCAAAGCAAACAAAATTGGAGCTCCTGGTACAGCTGTACCTGCACAGAATCAAAGAGTTGGAAGAGACCTCATGGGCCATCCAGTCCAACCCTGTACCAAGAAGCAGGAATATTGCATTCAAATCACCCCTGACAGATGGCCATACAGCCTCTGTTTAAAAGCTTCCAAAGAAGGAGCCTCCACCAAAACTTTTGTCTCATGGTTTTGATTCTTGGATTTTATGCTTCTATATTCATACCTTGGATTCATGTTTCCTGATTTCTTGCATTTTATTTGGGAAGCTTTTACTTTGTTTTTGTGGGCTTTGCTGGACTTTTACCCTGGTCTACTTTGCTCCTGCTTATCTTCCTACCTAATTGGATTTACCTACTTCTTTAAGGTGCTTTTTTACTTTATTGCTTTTTAATTATCTTCAATAAAAGGATTGTTTTCCATCCAACAGTGTAGTGTTTAAAGTCAGAGGGCTTTTCCTTTTCCTGGAGCCCACTGGCATGACCTCTCCATGAAATATCTTCATTTGTATGGAAAAATTAATGCCTGCTATTATGACAATTGGATGCAAATGTTGTTCTAATGCTGGTCTCATAAAGAACGGCATGCGCAAATGCTAATATTGAACAACCTATAATGTATACTAAGTAGGAAAACAAGTAGTAACCAGTTCTGTATGACAATGAAGAGAAAACCTGATCATATTTGAACCTTGTAGTTTTTTCTCCCAGGTGGGATTTTGAGAACGGTCTCCTTTCTTACTCTTTTCTGCAGATTTCGTTGATTTCCGAGCCTTGCATGACACCAAGCAAGGCAATTTTCAGCAGGAACACAAACACGGCTCTCCTTGGGAGAAGGTGCAAATTCAAACGCTTGGTGTCGAGAGAGACCACACAAAGGTCTAATTCACACATACAACACACACAACGGTGCCCAAGGGGAGCCTGTTGCAAACACTCCTCTCCTCCTGGGAAGGTGCAAATTCGTCTTGCAGAACAAATCAGTGGTGGAGAGAAAGCGTATAGCACACCCACACACAATCGATTCTTCAAGGCTTTCATGGCTGGAATCACTGGGGTGTTGTGTGTTTTCTGGGCTGTATGGCTGTGTTCTGGCAGCATTTTCTCCTGACGTTTCGCCTGCAACATCAGGAGAAAATGCTGCCAGAACACAGCCATACTGCCCAGAAACCACACAACACCACCAACACACAGTCATTTCCAGAAAATAGCTAAATGGAAAGGAGCTTTGAGCAAGGAAGGAATGGCACCGGACGGAGAAGGGCTCACCTGCCGGATGCCCAGGTGGTAGGTCAGGATGCGGTCCACGGCATCCGGGTTCATCTGCGTCCACTCCAGGCTGTAAGCATAGACCCGGGCCCGGTTCTGCCACAATGGGCTGTAGGTATCGTAGTAGAATTCCGGGGCATAGGCTTTGCCTGCAGGAGGAAAGAGAGCGGAGGGAGACGCGTGAGCAGAGAAAGCGTTGGAAGGGGAGAAGAAGAAGCAACCCACGTTCCTTTCCAGCTGTGACCACTGTCTTTCCTTTCTTCCCACCCTTTTTCATTGCTTCCTGCTCTGAATGGGAAGGATCTTGGGATGCACATCCTTATCCTGTTTTGCCAAGAGCAAAGCAGGTTATTTTTGGAGTCAATGAGAATGCAAGGGGTTAATAGTACCATCCGTACTCAAGTTACAAACATCCAACTTGCAAACAACTCCTAGTTAAGAACAGGGCTGGACTGGATGGCCTTTGGGGGTCCCATCAAAATTTATGATACAATATATCTTATTTCAATCAATCTCAAGCTAAATACCAACAACAAACTGATCAGCTTTGATGTGGAGTCTCTATTTACTATGGTCCCAGTAGCAGACACAGCACGTCAACGACTTAAATCAAGAAATAGTTTTCTTAGATCTACAGAGACACTTGCTGGAACACCTCAGCAAGCGAGAGTCCAAAAGTGGCAGCCAGAACCTCAATCAATGTCTGATACCAAATGAGAGACTCTCCTTGGGCACACAGAAGATGGGGCAACTTGGAAGGCGCTGAACAGACTGCGCTCTGGCACCTCGAGATGCAGAGCCAACCTTCAGAAATGGGGCCACAAAGTGGAATCCACGACATGCGAGTGTGGAGAGGAGCAAACCACTGACCACCTGCTGCAATGCAACCTGAGCCCTGCCACATGATGCACAAGGGAGGACCTTCTTGCGGCAACACCAGAGGCACTCCAAGTCGCCAGATACTGGTCAAAGGACATTTAATTAGCTACCAAGTTTGCAAAATTTGTTTTTTTTATCTGTTTGTTTGTTTGTTTTGTTCTGTTAGAAATGTAATACAATGTTCTGGTTGTGGATGACATGATAAATAAATAAAATAGTAGCAGACACCATGGCACTCATCAACCAGAGGTTCCCAGAAGACATCACGGCGCTGTTTCACCATTGCCTCACCACCAGCTACTTTCAGTGGGACATTGAATTCTACAAACAGAAAGATGGAGTAGCTATGGGGAGCCCTCTCAGCCCGGTCATAGCTAACTTCTACATGGGACACTTTGAAAAACAAGCCCTGGAAACAGCAACCAAAAAGCCCACGATATGGTTCAGATATGTGGATGACACTTTCACCATTTGGAGCCATGGAGAAGAAGAACTCAACAGGTTCCTGGACCATCTCAACAGCATCCACCCAAACATCCAGTTCACTATGGAAAAAGAACATGAAGGAAGACTGCCTTTTCTAGATGTCCTAGTCATCCATAAACCAGATCAACAGTTGGGTCACACCGTTCACAGAAAACCCACACACACAGATAGATATCTACATAAAAACTCCAACCATCACCCAAGTCAAAAAAGAAGCCCCATTAGAGCCTTGGCAGACCGTGCAAAAAGAATCTGCGAACCCCACCTCCTCCAAGAGGAACTGAACCACCTCAACTGGGCTCTACAGGCCAATGGATACTCCACCTCAGGCATCAGAAGAGCTGCAAGACAACTGAGAAGAAGCCACGAGAGTTAAGACCAAGATCCACCAGAGGAAAAGTGTTCTTGCCAGACATCAAGGGAACCACTGACAGCAGAGGGAAGCTGATGAGGAAACACAACATACAAACCACCTACAGACCCACCAAGAAAATCCATTTGCATTTGCATTCATCAAGCCCCGCACATCACATGACAAACTTTACCTTTACTAAAACCCAGAGCCTCAATCCATGGCTGATACCAAATGAGAGACTCCCCCCTGGGCACACAGAAGACTGGGCAACTTGGAAGGCGCTGAACAGATTGCGCTCTGGCACCACGAGATGCAGAGCCAACCTTAGAAAATGGGACCACAAAGTGGAGTCCACGACATGCGAGTGCGGAGAAGAGCAAACCTGCTGCAAAGCACCCTGAGCCCTGCCACATGACGCACAATGGAGGACCTCCTTGCAGCAACACCAGAGGCACTCCAACTGGCCAGCTACTGGTCAGAGGACATTTAATAGAATGCCAAGTTTGCAAACTTTGTGTGTGTTATTTTTTGAAAAACAATACAACTGTTTGGTTCGCTCCTGATACGATAAATAAATAAATGGCACATTGCCATAGGCTGCCAACTGGCTCAGCTTATGTCAGTGCAGGAAGGAAAGGGGTCACAATATGTTGCTCACAAGGAAAGCCTATATCTAGGTGAACAGATTTGAAAACTAGGCCAAAACTAATGCTCAACAGGGAGAAATGCACAGTACTATGCACATTTGACTCCTGGCTTGGAAACAGTCCACGAGAAAGGGATCAAGGAGTGTTAATGGAACACAAGTCAACACTGTGATACAGCAATCTATTTCCAATTAATATGCAATTAATAGAAAAGGAGAGAATGAAAGAAAGAGAAAGGAAGAGCCCTTGGCCTGCCGAGGAGCAAAGCAAGAGATGAGCTGAGGACGACAGACAGTCTGTAGCACATAGAATCATAGAATCAAAGAATCAAAGAGTTGGAAGAGACCTCATGGGCCACCCAGTCCAACCCCATTCTGCCAAGAAGCAGGAATATTGCATTCAAATCACCCCTGACAGATGGCCATCCAGCCTCTGTTTAAAAGCTTCCAAAGAAGGATCCTCCACCACACTCCGGGGCAGAGAGTTCCACTGCTGAACGGCTCTCACAGTCAGGAAGTTCTTCCTCATGTTCAGATGGAATCTCCTTTCTTGTAGTTTGAAGCCATTGTTCCATTGTGTCCTAGTCTCCAAGGAAGCAGGAAACAAGCCTGCTCCCTCCTCCTCCCTGTGGCTTCCTCTCACATATTTATACATGGCTATCATATCTCCTCTCAGCCTTCTCTTCTTCAGGCTAAACATGCCCAGTTCCTTAAGCCGCTCCTCATAGGGCTTGTTCTCCAGACCCTTGATCATTTTAGTCGCTGTCCTCTGGACACATTCCAGCTTGTCAATATCTCTCTTGAATTGTGGTGCCCAGAATTGGACACAATATTCCAGGTGTGGTCTAACCAAAACAGAATAGAGGGGTAGCATGACTTCCCTAGATCTAGACACTATGCTCCTATTGATGCAGGCCAAAATCCCATTGGCTTTTTTTGCCGCCACATCACATTGTTGGCTCATGTTTAATGAGGTTTGCGAGTCTGTGAGCAAAAAGGTGTTTTCCTACTTGTGTGAGATGCACCCCATCCCTTGCCAGTAGGCCATCCTCCTGGAAAAGCAGGCCATGGTCGAGGAAGCCAAAGCGTTCCTCCTGACACCATTTTCTAAGCCAGTTATTGACCTGTACTATTTTTCTGGCCCTTGTAGGACCGTGTTTTATGACTGGGAGGAGGGATGAAAAGACCACCTGTACATTACATTGCTTTAGCTTTGTTCCTAGAGCTCGAAAATCATTTGTGATCTTTTGAAAAGTATGCCTAGCAGTATCATTGGTGGGAAGCTCTTCCCTTTCCCTGATGGAGAAGGAGCTCCGAGCCTCTAAGCCTCATTCGTTCCCATAATTACCCATTTGGAGAAGGAATCCAAGGCAGAAGAAGGGCCAGGCATCACTATTTACATTTTGTGGTCCTTAAAAGGTGCAAGGAGGAAATAAAATGTGCATAAAGACTGATGCACTCCGTACAAATTATTATTATTCCATGTTGGTCTGTTCTGCAACATATACTGCTGAATCTTCAGGTGGAAATTATGGTTGAGTGTCTTCTTGGGTGCATCATCTACGCATCTGTATCCACTAACCAAACACATTGATTGACAACATAGAATCATAGAACTGGAAGGGACTCCAAGGGCCATCTAGTCTAACCCCATGCAGGGCTATACTGCTAAAGCACTCTGGAAAGATGTCCAACCTCTGTTTGAAGACTTCCAAAGAAGTAGGATTCCACTGTCATCAAGGCATTGTTCTCTTATTACAGAATCACGGAGCAGACTCCAAGGGCCATCTAGTCCAACCTCTTCCCATTCAGTACTCTTGAAAGATGTCCCTCCAGGCTCTGTTTGAAGGCTTCCAAAGAAGTAGACTCCATCGCCCTCGAGGCATTGTTTTCTTATCACACAATCACAGAGCTGCAAGGGACTCCAAGGGTCATCTAGTCCAATCACTTCCTGTACTCTTGAAAGATCTGTCTCCAAGCTCTGTTTGAAGACTTCCAAAGAAATAGGACTCCACGGTCCTCAATGCATTGTTCTCTTATCACAGAATCATGGAGCTGGGAGGGACTGCGAAGGCCATCTAGTCCAACCCATACTCTTGAATGATATTGCTCCAACCTCTGTTTGAAGGCTTCCAAAGAAGTAGGACTCCATTGTCCTCATGGCATTGTTCTCTTATTACAGAATCACTGAGCTGGGAGGGACGCCAAGGGCCATCCAGTCCAACCACTTCCCATACTCTTGAAAGATCTCTCTCCAACCTCTGTTTGAAGGCTTCCAACAATGCCACTATCCTCATGGCATTGTTCTCTTATCACAGAATCACAGAGCTGGGATGAACTCTGAAGGCCATCTAGTCCAACCACTTTCCATACAGCACTCTTGAAAGATGTCCCTCCAACCTCTGTCTGAAGACTTCCAAAGAAGCAGGACACCACCACCCTCAAGACATTGTTCTCTTATCACAGAATCACAAAGCTGGGAGGGACTCCAAAGGCCATATAGTCCAACCACTCCCCATACTCTTGAAAGATCTTGCTCCAACCTCAGTTTGAAGACTTCCAAAGAAGCAGGACTCCACTGCCCTTAAGGCATTGTTCTCAAAGCCATGTAGTCCAGCCCCTTCCCATACAGACCACTTGAAAGATGTCCCTTCAACCTCTGTTTGAAGGCTTCCAAAGAAGCAGGACTCCATTACCCTCATGGCATTGTTCTCTTATCACAGAATCAAAGAGCTGGGAGGAACTCTGAAGGCCATCTAGTCCAACCACTTGCCATACTGTTG